GGATCCCCTGCATCCCGGATCTGGATTGAATTGCGCTGCAGATCCTCGCCGGCCCCGATGACACGCGTGGGAATACCCGCGAGACGGTGTGCTGCACTGCGCATCCAGTCTTCAAAGCGTTGCAGGATCGGGAAGGTCGGGGCAAGACCGACAATGATGAGCGCGATCGTGAGAGAAATGGACGGATCTATGCCGATATCGAGGAAGTTTCTTTTCTCGGACGGACCCGTTTCGCTTGAAAGTGGCTGTGCCCAGAAAACGCTGTCGCTGTTGGGCAATGGGACAAACCCGGTTGTCGAACTGTCCGCGTCGTCTGTCGGTGCCGTTGGCAACTGGCTCGCACCGACCGTGTCGGAGACGATATCCGGACCGCCGAGATAGGGGATGACCTCGGCATAAGCGCACAAGAAGAAATAGATCATCAGCATCGTCAGCGCGTAAAAGGTATACGCATGGAAGACGACTTTGCGTGCACGGAGCTTGTCGGGTGTCAATAGATCGACCAGACGCTCAAGCTGCCTGCGCCCGCCATAAGTTGCCTTGTTGAATCGCTCGTAAGAGAAAACGCCTATGATCAAGGCTCCAAAGAGCAAGGCGACCAGATCAGGCATCGTCGGTACCTGCTTGTTTCAACGCTCTTAGCGGCAATATTGCGTTGCCGGATTGCAGGCTGTCTGTGCAAAGCCAGGTGCCGTGCTGCCAGATAGTAACAGGAGGATAATCAAAACATTCCTCATGACGCGGTCCTCAAGTTAAATAAATTTTTCTGTTCAATTCTAAAAGATGGGGTTGAAATCATAACATGTCCACAATTGAAAATAAGGAAATTTCTTCAAATAATGGCCGGATTAATATTTTCAATATAAAGTTGTATCTTGGTTGTGTTGTTAAAAGTTACCTAAAGTAAATGAGTTCGAGTTGGGAATGGGGTCCGCACAACCACCTATATTTGCGATTGGTCATTTTCTCGTCACAAGGATCATGTTGCACTGCAATGTGTTTTCAGGTTGCATCTGAAACAGCGGGAGGTCTCGTCCGGTTCGTGCCGGTTCCAATCTGTTCCAGCGTCAGGGAGCTGACCGCATATGTTTGATTTGACGGGCATGAAAGTGTTGGTGGTGGGGGTCGCAAACGACCAGTCCATCGCATACGGCTGCGCGAAGGCGTTCAGCGAGCAGGGAGCCGACCTGGCGGTTACGTTCCTGAATGAAAAGGCCGAACCGCATGTCCGGCCGCTTGCCGAAGAACTGGGCGCTGAAATCGTTGCGCCGCTCGATGTTCGCGACCTGGAACAGCAGGATGCGCTCTTTCGTGAGATCACGGAGAAATGGGGCAGGCTCGATACGTTGCTTCACTCGATAGCATTTTCGAAAAAGGAAGACCTTCACGGGCGTGTCGTGGATTGTTCCGCCGAGGGGTTCGGCCTGGCGATGGATATCTCGGTACATTCTTTCCTGCGCCTAATCCGCGGCGCTGAACCGCTTATGCCGCAAGGCGGAACCTGCATGACAGTGTCCTTCATGGGGGCACAGAAGGTTGTCGAGAACTATGGGGTCATGGGACCGGTCAAGGCGGCGCTCGAAGCCGCAACCCGTTATGCTGCCGCTGAAATGGGACCGAGGGGAATATCCGTTCATGCGCTCTCGCCCGGACCATTGAAAACCCGTGCGGCATCGGGAATTGCGGAGTTCGACGAACTCCTGAACGACGCTGCCGAGCGTGCGCCCACGCATCAGCTTGCAACAATCGACGATGTTGGAGCCTACGCTGCGTTCCTGGCAAGCCGGGAAGCCTTCAACGTTACCGGCGGCATTCACTTCATAGATGGCGGATACAGCATTGTTGGATAGGAGGTCCTGATGAAGGACATTTTTGACGCTCTCGAAAAAGGTCATAACGAGTTCCTCAACTCGCTGCACGACGCCACGGCATGGTCATCATCACAGCGTTTCACTGCTCTGCAGGCGCAGGCAACCGAGATTTCCAACATGGCCGAACTCATGGGCAGGGGGCTGACCATGCATTTGACCAACATGACCGATCATCACAAGAGCCGCTGGCAGGAGAGCCTGTCCGCGTATGGCAAGGCGTTTGAGGGGCTCACACGGGCGCAGTCGGGCGGCAGTCTCCACAGTGCCTTTGAAAACTACTGGCAGGACGCTGCGCAGCGCATTGTCCTGACCATGGATACGCTGCGTCAGCGCGGCGATATCTTCATTGAACATGAGGACGCCGGCTGCCCACCGGTGCTGATCTACGACTACGATGTCGTCATGGATGGGGCCGACCTGCCGCGGCCCTGCTGCTACATGCTTTTGAAGATCAAGCAGCCTGCGGACGGAAAACAACGCGCGCCCAAGTCCTGGAAACGTCCATACATCATCATCGATCCGCGCGCGGGACACGGTGCCGGTATCGGTGGTTTCAAGCCGGACAGCCAGGTCGGTGTCGCTCTTCGCGATGGTCACCCTGTCTATTTTGTCGCTTTCAGGCGCATGCCCGAAAAGGGGCAGACGCTTGCCGATGTCACCCACGCCGAGGCGGCGTTCGTGCGCAAGGTGAGGGAATTGCATCCCGATGCGCCCAACCCGGTTGTAACCGGAAACTGCCAGGGCGGGTGGGCAACATTGCTGCTGGCGGCCACGAACCCGGACCTCACCGGTCCCATCATCTTGAACGGTGCACCCGTGTCGACCTGGGCCGGACGTGTCGGAGAAAATCCGATGCGCTACAACGGCGGAATACTGGGAGGCACCTGGAATGCCATGTATTATTCCGATCTTGGCCACGGCGTTTTCGACGGTGCTGATATCGTTCAGAACTTTGAACTGCTCAATCCGTCACGGAACTATTTCGGCAAGTACTATGACCTTTACGCCAGGGTTGATACCGAGCCGCATCGCTTCCTCGAGTTTGAACGCTGGTGGGGTGGCTATTTCCTGCTGAACGAAGCGGAAATGAAGTGGATCGTCGAGCAACTTTTCGTCGGCAATAGGCTGTCCAAGAACGAGGCACAGCTCGAACCTGGACGGAATGTGGACATCAAGCAGATCCGTGCGCCGATTATCGTCTTTGCCAGCTTTGGTGACAATATCACCCCGCCACAACAAGCGCTCAATTGGATCATCGACAGTTATGCCGACGAGCGGGAGATCGTCATTCGCGGGCAGCGGATCATCTATATGGTTCACGATCAGGTCGGGCATCTTGGAATTTTTGTCTCGTCCAAGATAGCCAAGAAAGAGCACACCGAGGTCACGTCGACCTTGAAGACCATCGAAGCCCTGCCTCCCGGTCTTTATGAAATGACGATCGACGACTACGAGGGTGACATCCTGGACAGGTCCTTCACGGTCAGTTTCCATGAGCGCAAGATGGAAGACCTCAAGGCGATGGACGACGGCCGGGACGATGAGATCCCCTTTGCGGCTGTCGCAAGAGCCTCTGAACAGCAGGCAGAGTTTTACGATGTCTGCATGCGCCCTCTTGTTCAGGCCGGCGTCACCGAACAAAGCGCGGATTTGCGCCGCAAGACTCATCCTCTTCGGATGCAGCGCGAGCTCTTTTCCAGCATGAACCCGTTCCTGAACATGTTGCCGGGTTTGGCGGAGCGGGTGAAGGAGGATAGAAAACCGGTCGCCGCGGACAATCCCTTCGTCGAGCTGGAGCGTGTCAACGCAGCGCTCATCGAGCAATCGATGGACCTGTTCCGGGACCTGCGCGACACAATGTACGAAAACCTGTTCTACACGATCTGGGGATCGCCCTACATGCGCTGGTTCGGGCGGACGAAACAGCCGGGCCGAACGCTGATGAAAAAAGAGGAATTGCGCAGTCTGCCCCCGGTTCAAACCGCTCTGATGCATATCGAGGAAGGCGGTTTCCGTGAAGCCGTCGTTCGCATGCTCATCCTGCTGGCGGACAGCAGGGGAAATGTCCGCCGCGACCGACTGGAGCGATCTTCGCGTGTTCTGACACAAGATGAACCATTCAAGTCGCTGACACCGGACGAACGCAGCTTCATGCTGCAGGAACAGACATTGATCGTGGAATTCGCGCCTGAAAAGGCGATCACGTCACTGCCGAAGCTGCTCAGGACAAAAGAAGAGCGTGAGCTGGCTTCCAGGGTCGTACGTTACATTCCCGGGTCCATCGATGAGATGACATCACACACTTTGGAAACCTTGCAAAAGTTTCACAAGGTTCTGGGATTGCCGCCCGCATCCGAAGATGTGACTGAAGATCCGTTGGTCCGGCCCAAAGAAGTCGCTAATCCGGAAAAGGTGGAAAATCCCGAAAAATCCGGGAACACAGAAAAAACTGCAGAGGTCGCCGCTTCCACAACCAGGGCACCACAGAAAGTCTCACAGCGCAAAGCGGCGCAAAAGACCTCTCCTCGACGCAGAGCAGCCGCGAAACCGGCGACGCGCGGAAGACGGCGCACGACGAAAAATTCGGAAGAACCTGCAGAATAAGGTGATAGGGCGTCCGGGCCTCTCGGACGCCCCTCAGAGCCCCCCTGGTTTTTTGCTGGAGTTAGGCTCTGATCTGCAGAATAAAAACTTTTCCGGTCGCATCCGACTTCAACAGCGAGCCCGCCTGGCCCTCCGTGTTTCCAGCGACAGCAAAATTGGATGCATCACAATACCAAGAACCGCTGGAGCTACAAGTCCCACCCTCACCAGATGGCAATTTAATCGTGGCGGGCGGACAGCAATGTGTGCCCGGCGCCGGCACGGGCGCTTGCCGCTGTTGTGCGTTTGTAGATGGATTTGCTCGATAAGATGCCGGTCATCGCCCGGAAATGGACGCAGTTTTCTTTTTTATGCGATGTTGGCCGCCTGGTTTGTGAGTTGAAAAGACCCACCAGAGGGCTGAAGTCATGACGATGATGCCACTTGAGAATTCTCGGAGACGTATATGCTCTTGCTGAAACAGATCAGGTTGGCCAGACAATCAAGGTGTCCATCCTTGAAATTGCAGGCGGCTGGCAGAAACTGATGTTCGACTGGGTCTACAAGAAAAGACTGAAGGATGACCTGGAGGTCTGGGTCTCGAAAGGCTGGGTCAGTTCGTCCGGTGCCGCAGCCATCCTGCGCGAACAGGATCAGGAAGACGGGCGATCCAGGTTGCCGATGGCTTTGGCCGGTATCGGCATGGTCTGTGTTGCCTTGGCACTCTTTGCGTTTATCGCAGCCAATTGGGCCGCGATCCCGAAAACGGTAAAACTGATCGGTATTGCCTGCCTCCTGCTTGCCAGTCACGGCGCCGCGGCAAAAGCAGCGGCGAATGGGCGGAGAGGTATCGCGGATCTGCTGACAGGCTTTGCAACGCTGGTCTTCGTCGGAGGAATGGCCCTGGTGGGGCAGATTTTTCATCTGCCCTCGGACTGGGCCGGTGGAGCGTTTCTTGTTTGCCTCGGAGGCTTGGCTGCAGCCTGGCTGACAGGATCGAAAACCTCGATTGTCATAGCGGCGATCGCTGCAATCATGTGGCAGTTCACACGCGCGGAGCTGGGTGAAGCTGTCCTGTTGCAGGATCTCATCGGCCTTTTGATCCTGGCCGCTGTCTTCGCTCATCCGCTTGTTCATCCTGCGCGCCTGTCGCGCTGGCTTGCGATCAGCCTTGTCTGGGTCACTTACGGCAGGTGGTTCGCGGAATCCGCCGAGATCCTGTCTGCGGACGACGGCTATATCCTTGCCATGGCGCTCGCTGGGGCAGGAGGCCTGGCGGCGATCATGGTGCTGCTCGATCCGGTCGCAGACCTGTTTGTCAAATGGTCAAGCAACCTTCCATCTCGTGGTCATGGCTATTGGCTCATGGGAAGATCCCTGCAAGATGCAGGCTTTCTTGTTCTCTGCGCGCTCATTGCTGCAGCACTTGTCCTGGTTCCAGAGATTTCAAAGCGCGTCGCTGTGGCCGGCATTTGGGAAATCCCGGCGCTGTTGCCACTGCTGCTTGCTGTGTTTTTGCTCGTCTCGGGCTTTGTTCTTTCCTACAAGACAACAAAGGCTCAATCACTGTTTGGTGCGATCGGGCTCGCGGTTCTTGCTGTCCTGATGCCGGTCTTTACGGCGAACAGCCTTGTGCTCGCTGCCATCAGCATGGGCTCGCTTGTGGGGCTCTGCGCCCTCGCCACATGGTTCAACAACCGGTTCTGGATGCTGTGTGCCTATCTCGGGTTGACCGCAGTAGCGCTTTGGCTCCTGCAGGTTACAATCGGATCTCTCCTGGGCCAGTCGGTGTTTTTCCTCGTTGCAGGGGTCCTCTTGCTTGGTGTGGCATTGTGGCTCGCACGTCTCTTCAGGAAAGGCAAAGATGCTCCGGACGCCGGGCCTGATCGCAAGGAGGCCCTGACATGAGTATTGCTTCCGTTCCCGACGAACCTGCCCGGCCATCCAACTCCCGGTTCGCCTACCTGCGCTGGGGGCTGCTGGCACTCATACAGCTCGCACTGATCTCGATTCCCATGGTTGACCGGCTTCAGGTGCAGGTTTCAGGAACGGTGGTTTCGCTGGAACTTGTCCCCGTGGATCCAAGAGATCTCTTGCGCGGCGACTATGTGATCATAAACCTCGCGATTGGACGTTTGTCCACGGACCTTCCCGGCGCGGACACCGTCAAGTCCGGTCACACGGTTTACGTTGAGCTTGCGCGCGATGGCACGGCTTCTGCTCAGCCCGTCTCGATGTCGCAAACACCGAGGCAATCAGGAGAACTCGTCATCGTAGGCACTGTCACGTCGGTTTCAGATGACAAGATCTGGGTAGACTATGGCATCGATGCTTTCTTTTTGCCCGAGGGCGAGGGACGGGTGATTGAAAAGCTCGATACCAGTCGGGTCCTGCTGGAAGTCGCGATTGCGGAAGACGGACGCTCCCTCCCGCTCACGTTGCTGGTCGACGGCGAGGTGTTCAAATCGGACGGGACCTTTTGACGGACGGTGCTCCGGGCGCTATGAGCGCTGCAACGCATTGAATAGGAAACCTGGTCCCTGATGTCCGATCCCGCGCTCGACACGCTCATCCTTCCTCTGGAAACGGAGAATATTGAACTTCACCCAGGCGCGAAGGTCCTGTTTCTGCGTGCCCGTTATGGCCTAGCCTTGAATGCCTTGAATGGACTGGATCTTCTGTGCGTTCAAAGTTTCGCACCCGATCGCGATGCCCTGCAAAAGGCGGGTCTGAAGGTGAGCGCCGAGCCTGGGGAAGGGAAATTCGATGCCGTGCTTGTTCTCCCCGGCCGTCAAAGACAGGAAGCGCGGGCGCAATTGGCAGAGGCTGTTTCCAGGGTAACAACCGGCGGTATCGTGATCGCCAGTGCCCCCAACACCGAAGGCGCCAGGACGCTGGAGAGGGATCTTGCCGATCTTCTCGGCAATACGGAAAATCTCTCGAAGAACAAATGCCGTGTCGTCTGGGCCACCTCTCATGCCGACAGCGTCAACCAGGCGCTTCTGAAAGACTGGCTGGCCATTGATGTTGCTCGGCCGGTGCTGGACGGAGCGTATGTCAGCCGCCCGGGCCTGTTTGCCTGGGACCGCGTCGATCCGGCCTCGAAGATCCTTGGCAACCTGGTGCCGGATACACTCAAGGGAAAGGGAGCCGACCTCGGGGCGGGCTTTGGCTACCTCGCGCGAACAGTTCTGGAAAAGGCCCCGAAAGTGTCCGCAATGGATCTTTATGAAGCTGAAAAACGCGCACTCGACCTTGCGGAGCAGAACCTTGGCGGCTTCAAGGGCAAGCGACGTCTGAACGGTTTCTGGTGCGACGTGACAAGGGGGATTGAGGGTCCTTACGACTTCATCGTTTCCAATCCGCCGTTTCACCAGGCGGGCAGGGCGGATCGCGCTGATGTCGGTCAGGGGTTCATCCGGGCCGCAGCAGCGGGTTTGCGCCCGGGAGGCGAACTCTTCATGGTTGCCAACCGTCACCTGCCTTACGAACAGACACTGACCGAGGTATTTGCAGACGTCAGGCAACTGGCTGACGAGGGCGGCTACAAGGTTATCCGCGCGGTCAAGGGCAAGGGAAGGCGCTAGAATGCGGCTCGTAAAACTCCTCGCCAATCTCGGCTACGGCAGCCGCAAGGAAATGCAGCTGGCGATCCGCAATGGCTGGGTAACGGACAGGGACGGCAACAGGCTGAAGCCAGACAGCAAGACGGCGCATGAGGACGTCCTGTTCGACGACGAGCCACTCGACCCGGCACAGGGCGTCGTGCTTTTGCTGAACAAACCTGTCGGATATACCTGTTCGACAAAGGATCACGGGCGTTTGGTCTACGATCTGCTGCCGGACCGGTTTCGTACCCGCAAGCCTGCACTGTCGTCTATTGGTCGTCTCGACAAGGAGACATCGGGACTGCTGCTTTTCACCGATGACGGCACGTTTCTTCACAAGGTGATTTCGCCGAAATCGAATGTTCCCAAAGTCTACGAACTCGCTCTGGATCGTCCCTTGAAGGGGGATGAAGCCGCTTTGTTCGCTTCCGGCGAAATGATGCTTGAAAGCGAAGACAAGCCGCTGAAGCCTGCCCAACTGGAAGTCCTGGACGACACGACCGCCCGATTGACCCTGCACGAGGGCCGCTATCACCAGGTTCGCCGCATGTTTGCCGCAACCGGTAACCACGTGGCGCAACTCAGGCGCAGCCGGATTGGCGCGCTGGGGTTGGAAGGTTTGGCGGAAGGAGAGTGGAAGGCACTTTCCGATAACGAAAAGGCCAAAATTTTCGCGTGAAAGCAAAGAGGTCCGGGAATGCCGAACCTCTTCGCAACTCCATGGGTCGCTATGGTGCAGTCAACCCTGCGACCGGCTCAGAACCCGAATGCGGCTGTCGAACTCGCCTCGGTCGACGTAGCAGCCACGCAAATGCCGGAATCCGGTGTTCGGGTCGAATGCGGCGCGACCGTGCAGGACGCGGCGATTGTCGAAAATCACCATTTCTCCGCCCCGCAGACGTGTGGTCATCACGTATCTTTCTGACCGGGTCATCTCCATGAGTTTGCGATACGCAGTGTAGTAAGGCTCCATCTTGTCGGCCGGCAGGTCGAAAATTCCCGCAAGATGGGCATTGAAATGCAATTCCTGCATGTTTCCGAACAGATCAAGATCGATCACCGTGTGATGGCGCCGGATGTCGTAGTCCTCATCGTGAAAGCGAAAGGGGACAGGCGTTTCGGACAGCAGACGGAAGGCTTCCGGCTCGTCATTGCGAAGGTCGTTGGCGATGGCAAATCCATCACAGAATGTCGACCCGCCACCTTCCGCCTCGTTGGCAAGGCAATGCAGAAACTGGAAGCCAGGTGGCAGTTCCTGGTTGGCAAGATCCGTATGAAGCGGCAGGGCATGGGACGTATAGGCAAGATTGTTCGGGTTTGGCTTCGACATGACCTCGAACGTCGTGCCGAAATTTGTTTCTCTGAGAAAGCCGATACGCCGTGCCATCGCCATTCCGGCATCCTTGTCGTGTGCCATGCCGTCAACGATGGCAAGTCCGGTTTTCTTGGCTTCCAGCAGAAATTCCAGCAAAAGTGCGTCGCTTGACGTCAGATCGCTTGATGTCGCGCGAGGAAGATCGGCCGGTGAAAAGTCGGCGCGCCAGAGCGTTGCATCCACCTGGGCCGGGTCCAGAAGTCCTATGCCGGGCCGGTGATCGTATAGCCAGCCCGGATCAAATCGGCTGGTGTGAGATTCCCCGTCCCAGGTCACGACAATATCGCCATCTTCGAGCGAAACATTGCCGACACTCAATCCGAGAGGAATGCTTGTCAGGTCGAACTGGCGCTCCCTCGTGTCGGGATGAAAGCCCGTCGGGCAATTGTCCCGAAGCCAGAGAAAGGGAAAGTCCGCGCTGGTTCCATTTGGCCAGCAGACATTCACGACGCGGTCGCCGCCGCGAAGAGTTGCGGTTGTCATGGTTGAGTTCCGTTGATTTTTGAAAGTGAAACAAAAATTCGCGTCCGGAGGACGCGGCTCATCAACGGCAGGCGGGAGGCGGCCACCACCAATAGGCTTTGTTATGCGGATTTCCGGGATTCCGCCCGAGGATATGGAGCATCCAGTTGTAACCCGTTCAAAGGCGGCGCCTTCAGATGAATTCGATGGCAAAATGACATCAATAAATACGCCCGGCAACAGGTTTTTTGCCAGGCGTGAACACGTTTCAAGTTACTGGACTCTCGCAGGTAACTCAGCCCTTGGCGGCGCGCGCGGCCAGCGCGATTGCGATGTAGCTCCAGCCGTTGACGAGCACCGAGATACCGGCGATTAGGCCAAGTGCCCAGGCGGCCGAACCTGGCAGATCCATCCAGATCATGACCCCGGCTGCAAGTGAAACGATACCGGCGATCAGAACCCATACCCAGCCTTCATGCGGCTTCAATTTGTAGGCCAGCAGAATCTGGCTGACACCCTGGGCGACGAAGATCGCCGCGATCACAAGCGTAAGTGCGAATGTACCGGCAAGCGGGTTCAAATAGATCACGATACCGCCAATGACTGCGATGATGCCCGTGATGAGGTTCCACAGAAAGCTCGACGTACCCTGTGTCTTGAATGAATTGTAGATCTGAACAAGTCCGCCTACGAATAGCACGGCTGCTATCAGGATTGTGACAGCAATGGATGTCGCCAGCGGGGCGGCAATCAGAATGATTCCGCCGATCACAAGCGCAATGCCGAGTGCCAGGAACCAGCCCCAGTTTTCCTGGATCTTCGCTTTCATGTCTTCGACAGCCTGAACCGCATCTGCCATTTTGACCTCCTCACGTTCCGGTTGTTCAGGCACCGTAACTGCTTCGCGGCAAAACGCAAAATATTGATGACATTACGAAGGGTTAGCGTTGGGGATTAAGGAACTTGACATTCGGTGTGTATATGCACACAAAGGGCCATGGAAGACGATGACTTTTCCCAATGTGTCCTTGACAACGCCCGCAAAGCGGCCCGGGCGGTCAGTCGTCACTATGATCGTCTGGCCCGACAGGTCGGGATGACCGCAGGCCAGTTTTCAGTGCTGGTCGCCATCAGGCAGGCGCGCGACGAAACCACGGGCGAACTGGCAGAAAGGCTTTCCATGGATCGTACTACCCTGGTCCGGAACATCGCGCTTCTGGATCGAAAGGGCCTCGTCGTGTCGGCGCGTACGGGTGATGCGAGAGGAAAGAACCATCATCTGACCGGGAAGGGCGAAGCGCTGCTGGAGAGTGCCCTGCCGCTTTGGCGCCAGGCGCAGAAAGATGTGGAGACCCTTCTGGGCAGGGAGGAGTTCCTGAAAACAATCAATGTGTTGCAGAGGCTTTCGCAACTTTGACAATGGTTCCTTGAATCTCTTTCTAAAGGACCTTTAACACCGCTTGAACACGAAACACGTGACAGGGCGTCATCTGACATGAGCAAAGTGAGGTAAACATGCGTCGGGTAGTCGTAACGGGAATGGGGATCGTGTCTCCCCTCGGAACCGGGGTTGACGCATTCTGGAGCAGGTTGACGTCGGGCGCGAATGGCATCCGCAGGATCAGCCATTTCGATCCGAGCGACCTGGCCTGCCAGATTGCTGGCGAAGTGCCGTCAAAGGATGAGGACGAGTTCGGCTTCGACGTCGATGAGGTTCTCGATTCTCGGGAACAAAGGCGCTCCGACAGGTTCATTCACTTTGCCATGGGAGCGGCCCAGCAAGCGCTCGCAGACTCCGGTTGGGAACCAAAAACCGTCGAGGAAAAAGAACGGACCGGCACGATCATCGCCACCGGCGTCGGCGGCTTTCCGGCCATGACCGCCGGGACCAGGCTGGTCGACGAGAAGGGGCCCCGCCGGGCCTCGCCGTTCCTGGTGCCGTCATTCCTCGCCAATCTGGCTGCTGGCCAGGTCTCCATCCGCTTTGGTCTGAAAGGACCGATCGGCGCACCGGTGACAGCCTGTGCAGCCAGCCTTCAGGCGCTGGGCGATGCCGCTCGCTTGATCCGCTCGGGCGAGGCCAACGTCATGGTGGCCGGTGGTACGGAAGCCTGTATCGACAAGGTTTCATATGCCGGTTTTTGCGCGGCCAAGGCCATGTCCTCCAAGCGTAACGACGACCCGTCTCATGCGTCCCGTCCGTTTGATCAGGATCGTGACGGCTTCATCATGGGTGAAGGCGCGGGCATCCTGATCCTGGAGGAACTGGAGCATGCGAAGGCGCGTGGCGCCAACATTCTGGTTGAACTCAAGGGTTACGGTACGACGGCTGATGCATTCCACGTTACCGCGTCGTCACCGGACGGCGAGGGAGGCTTGCGTGCGATGCGCCAGGCACTTTCATCTGCCGGACTGACACCTGCCGAAATCGGCTACGTCAATGCGCATTCCACATCAACACCGGTTGGCGATGCGGCGGAGATTGCCGCATTGACGACCTTGTTTGATGGAAGGGGCAAGGACCTTGCCGTGTCCTCGTCAAAATCCATGTTCGGGCACCTGCTCGGCGCAGCCGGTGCTGTCGAGGCAGTGGCCTGCGTCAAGGCGCTGACAAGCGGACAGCTGCCTCCGTCCCGGAACCTGGAAGCTCCGGATGAGGCAATGACCCGGTTCGAAATGATTCCGGGCAAGGCAATCGACAGGCGCGTTGATCACGTTCTGACCAATGGTTTCGGCTTCGGCGGCGTGAATGCCAGCGCGGTGTTTTCAAAGGTTTGACGCGCCTTTTTTGGACCGGTGTCGATAGACTTTGGACAAGTACTCTGCCGCCCCGGTTTGGAGCCGGGGCAGCTTTGCTGCAATTCGACCGCTCCACGGTGAGTGGCGATCTCAACAATATTGTCTGCTCGCAGCCCCGGTACAGGTTCGAAAGGGTTTCTCCCACGCAACGATAAATTTCACTTGGAAAACAGGATATTTCCATTTATGAGAATAATCTCATTTGTGGGAATCATCATGTCTGATCTTGAACAGGATATCGGCCGGCGGATTGCGGGGCTGCGCCGGGCAAGAGGATGGCCGCTGGATCTGCTGGCGGAAAAGTCGGGAGTGAGCCGGGCGACCCTGTCGCGGATCGAACGCGGCGACACCAGTCCGACCGCGGTGGTGCTCGGGCAACTGGCCCGGGCGTTCCGGATTTCCATGGCCGATCTTTTTGGCTTCGGATCGCCTGCGCTGGACGCCAGGATCGCGCGGGACGACCAGCCGGTCTGGCAGGATCCGGAAACCGGTTTTCGCCGCCGGAGCGTCTCACCTGCTTCAAACGGGTTTCGCGGGAGTGTGGTCGAGGGGGAACTGCCCGCCGGTGAAATCATTTCCTATTCCGTGCCGCCGCTACCGGACCTGGAGCATCATCTGGTTCTTCTGGAAGGAAATCTGGTGATGACGATCGGAGACGAGCGGCATGAATTGTCGCCGGGCGATTGCCTGCGCTTCCGCCTCAACACCGCCAACGCCTACCATGCCCCTGGACCCGGTTCCGCCCGATACCTCCTGACGGTGATCACCCCATGATACGCTTTCGCCCGGAACCGCCGGTGTTCCTTCTGTCGCCGGAGGAAGTTCGCTCTTCGCTCGAAACTCTTGCGGATCTTCTGAAGGCCTGCGTGGAAGATGGTGCCGGCATCGGCTTCATCCTGCCGCTTCAGCGTGAAAAGGCCAAAGCATTCTGGGAAGGACAGTTGCCGACGCTGGAATCCGGAAAGTCCTTTCTCCTGGCCGTACGGGACGGAGAGGAAATTGCGGGCGTCGTCATGCTCGCCCTTGCACCGCAAAATAACGGCCAGCACCGGGCGGAGGTCGCGAAGCTGATGGTTCACCCAAACCATCGCCGGCAGGGGCTGGCGCGCAAGCTGATGGCGACAATCGACGGTCTGGCCCTGTCGTTGGACCGTTGGCTCCTCGTTCTCGACACCGTCACGGGTGACCGGGCCGAACAGCTCTATCCAACATGCGGATACCGGAAAGTAGGCGTCATTCCGGACTACGCCTATGGCAGCCACGGCGACTTGGACGCGACCACGGTTTTTTACAGGGATCTTCGGTAGGGGCTGACCTCGTCGAATGTCGACCCCGCGAATGTGCAGAGCCAGGATGCGGGACGAGATGAGGCGCGCAATTACTGCGTTTCAGGCTGGCCTGGAGTCCCGAAGCTTCAGTCTTCGCAGAACTTTCCGGTGTTCTGTTTGCACTGTCTCTGGCGCGTGTGTTCGCGCCACGCAGCTTGATTATAGGATTTGTAGTCCGGATAGGTTTTACCGGAGCACGTTATTTTCGCGAGCGCCCGACCACCCGCAGTGTTGTAATCCCACGATTTCTTGGATTTCTCGCAAGCATTCTCCGGGGCCGAAACCTCCAGGGTTGCGCTTTCATTGTTCGACTGGCAGCCACTCAAAAAGGTGGCGAACAGGACAACCAGGACCGATGTCACCAACTGCGGATTTTTACTCATTGCTTCCAACCGGTTGCATGTATTGATTCCAATTACGTTCAAAAAGAAGTTATCGATAAAACTTTTGAGTGTGTGCGGAAAAGGCCGTCCCTATAGGGCGAGGCTGGATTTGGAATAACAGGAAGCTTTGGTCAGCCTTCTTCGGCGAGCATCTCAAGCTCCAGCCATTGCTCTTCCGCTTCGTCCTTTGCTGAAGTCAAGTCGGAGATTTTCTGCGAAAGTTCTGAGAACTTCTTGGGGTTCTTTGCGTAGAGCTGCGGATCGTTCATATCACTTTGAAGTTCTTCAAGTTTTGCTTCAAGTTGCTCGATTGTGTCGGGCAGGGTTTTCAAAAGATGTTGCTGGGTGAAGCTGAGTTTTGCTTTCGTCTTAGGGCTCTCCGCTGAACCGCTTGATAGGTTCTGCTTTTCCTTCTTCGCCGGAGCAGTTTTTTGAACCTTTCGGGCGGCAACACCCTCGCCGCGTTGCGCAAGCATGTCGGTATAACCGCCTGCATATTCGCGCCAGAGGCCATCACCTTCCGAGACGATGACGGACGTTGCGACCCGGTCGAGGAAATCGCGGTCATGCGAAACGATCAGGGCTGTTCCCGGGTAGTCGGCAAGCAGTTCCTGCAAGAGGTCTAGTGTTTCCAGGTCCAGGTCGTTGGTCGGCTCGTCAAGCACCATCATGTTGGATTTGTTGGCCAATGCCCGTGCCAGCATCGCACGGGCACGCTCACCGCCCGAAAGGACGCTGACCGGAGTTCTTGCCTGTTCAGGCGAAAACAGGAAATCCTTCATGTAGGACATGACGTGCTTGGTCTCGTCGCCGACGACGACCATGTCGCCGCGCCCGCCGGTCAGCACCGAGACCAGGGTGTCATTGAGATCAAGCTTCTCGCGCTTCTGGTCGAGTGTCACCATTTCCAGGTTGGTGCCGAGACGGTTGGTGCCCGTGTCGGGAGCCAACTCGCCAGTCAGCATCTTCAAGAGCGTGGTCTTACCGGCACCATTCGGCCCGACAAAACCGATCCGGTCACCGCGTTGAATGCGCGTTGAAAAGTCTTTGACAATGGTGCGGTCGCCATATGTCTTGGAAAGACCTTTCGCCTCGATGACCAGTTTGCCGGATGCTTCCGCTTCGCTTGCGTTCAGTTTTGCCGTGCCTTGCGGGCCGCGATGCTCTCGCTTCTGTTTCCTGAGATCTGCAAGTTCCCGTACGCGGCGCATATTGCGTTTGCGACGGGCGGTGACGCCGTAGGTCATCCAGTGTTCTTCGCGCTTGATCTTCTGCGCAAGTTTGTGCTGGTCGATCTCTTCCTGCTCCAACACCACGTCACGCCAGGCTTCAAAATGCGCAAACCCCTTGTCCAGGCGTCTGGAGATACCCCGGTCGATCCAGACGGTTGCCCGTGAAAGGTTTTCCAGGAACCGGCGATCGTGGGAAATCAGGACAAGTGCGGACTTGAGGCTCTTCAGCTCCTCCTCGAGCCACTCGATGGCCGGAAGATCCAGATGGTTGGTCGGCTCGTCCAGAAGAAGAATGTCCGGTTCCGGTGCGAGGGTGCGGGCCAGGGCGGCACGCCTGGCTTCGCCACCGGAAAGCGCTTCAGGTTTTTCATTGCCGCTGAGCCCGAGGACGTCGAGAAGGTAGGCACCTCGATAGGGGTCGTCACCTTCCGTCAGTCCCTCGTTGACATAATCGAGTGTCGAGGCGTAGGTGGACAGATCCGGATCCTGCGGCAAGTAACGGACCGTACGGCCGGGTTGAAAGAACCGCTCTCCCTTGTCCACCTCGATCTGTCCGGATGCGACCTTCAAAAGAGTGGATTTACCCGAACCGTTCCTGCCGACAAGACATATTCGATCACCTTCGGAAACGGACAGTTCCGCACCGGTCAGGAGGGGTGTTCCACCGAAAGTAAGCTGAACGTCTTGGAGTGTGAGCAGGGGTGGGGCCATGAAGTCCTGTTTCGTCGTCGATTGATCGGCGCCCGGTTTACTGTCCTGATGTGAGCCGCGCAAGCACCAAACCCGACTTGCAACGTCACGTGAATGGAGTTGCTCGGAAATTTGATGCGTTTCCGCCAGATTTTTGTCCTGATATGCGTTATGATTGGCGTGTGGTCAGGGGCCTGTTGTCAAATCACCGGCTGAAGAGCTGGAAGGAGACCAATGATGTTTGATCTGATCAAGGGTCCCGTCAAATCGGGGAAAGTCGCGAAGTTGCTCAAGTCGTGCAGCCTGGCGCTGGTGCTCGCATTTGGCGGAACCGGGCTCGTCACCATGGCCTTTCCGGAGCCCGCTGAAGCGGATGCGTTTTACATCGGCACCGGCGGTGTGGGCTTTGCTTTCGGCACGGGCGGATATCGCGGCGGTGTCTTTTACGGATATCGAGGCGGTTTTGCAGGGCCTCCGTTCCGGCCCTACGGCCCCCCCTACTACTATCACCCGTATGACCGCCGTGCCTATCCGTACCGGTCTCGGGTCTATGTCGCCCCGCGCCGCTACGTAAGGCCGCCGCTCTATATTGCACCAAGGGGAAGGCATGTCGGTCAGCCGCAACGGGTGCCCTTTACCAAAACCGGACTGGCCCCTTTCACCCCGCAATGGGTGGCGTATTGCTCGCGCAAGTTCAAGTCCTTCAATCCGAACACGGGCACGTATCTGGCCTACAGCGGAAGGTATCGTTTTTGCCGCTAGGATCGCCAAAGTCTCACGCTTGTCTGAAAAATTAGGTTGGTGACCCCGCGTCGGTCAAACGCGAAAACCAAGTCATTCCGACCTTCACTTGCTCCGCTCGAACCGGATTGTCTCGGGCAGACAAGAGGCATTGCTGCTGTTTCTTATTCTTTCCTTAAGGTAATTGAAAATCATGCTGTTCACTTAGAGCTCAACAAGGTAATGAATCTGTTAGGTGGAAGGGCAATGACAAGATGCTTCTGAGGTACTGAAATACATGATTTCTCGATTGGAAGATTTTTCTAATTCGGTTTTAGGTGCAGATGACCCGCTGGCAGTGTGGAACATAGCTACAAGTTTTTTTGAGAGCTTCGGCTTTATAGGATCAATGTACGGGATCAGGCATTTACAAACGACACCCAATGAAAAGAACATTCGTTTTTCCAACGCCTTGTCCGACTGGAAAACGTCCTACATGGCACACAAGGATTACGAGCGGGATCCTCTGTTCATCTATGCGCCACAGCTGCCGAGTGTTTTTTTTACGGGCGTGAATTTTCTGGACGACCATCCCTATCTTCGGGAAGAAGACGTTGCCGTAATTCGGCGGGCAGAATCTTTTAATCTGACCAGCGGAATCGCCCTCAAGATGGCAGGCGGCGAAGACGGCGTGGTCAGAGGCTGGAACCTGATCGGTGATCTTTCCAGGCAGGAAATCATGTCGCTGAATGATGCCCATGGCGGTGTTTTGCACGTCTGTGCGGCACTTGCCGACCAAAAAATCAGTCAAACGGTGACAAGACCGGACGCATATCTGACGAACAGGGAAAAGGAATGTCTGATATTGTTGGCAAACGGTCAGAGGACCGCACAGATAGCCAACAAACTGAACATTCAGTCTGTGACTGTGGATCTTCACATGCGCAATGCGCGTGAGAAGCTTGGTGCCCGAACCCGTGAACAGGCGCTTGCGGTTGCCATCGTTTCAAATCTCTTGCCGCTCTGAATTGAGTTTTTGGCTCTGCGATTGTGAGCAAGCCGGCTTTTCCTCATCCGCAACCCGCGACTGAAAATGTCCGTACAACGATCAGGTCTTCGCCGCCGTAAGTGGGCGGCGACTTTCTCCAACCGGTCCGTCTGCTTCCGTCTGGCGCAAAGGCGGGCAGACCGGACTGCCGGCATCGGAAGTCACCAATGCACTCCTCGACGACGAGACCATTTCATCGTGGATTCCGAACCGGTCTCCCACAAGCCTTCGTGCTTTCTGTCTCAACGGGACAGGTCAAAATGGACAAGAACAATCCTGGCGGGAATTTCCAACCAAAATTGGCGACACGAGATCCTGATTGAGCTATAAACGAAAGTATCGTTTTTGCCGTCAGGATTGTAACTTTATTTCGCGCTCGTATGCCGATTTATTTAACAAATGTGCAAATTCGGGGAAATATTTTTCTTTTCTGTCGGACAAAGTGCAAAAACATCGCCTTTTTGCGACCACGTGTGGAATATGCCGTTGGGGGACGGTTGATTGCGCGCAAAGAGCGTGGAATCTTGTCCGTTATCGTTTCCATATCTTCAACAATAACCCAAGAGGGGAGAGCGATATGATCAAGTCCATGCGTGTAACAGCGCTTGCGGCTGCATTGATGGCAGCCACATCTTTGACCGCATTTGCCGAGGTGGTCTATCATCGTGGTAACACGGCCGATCCGGAAACTCTGGACCAGCACAAGACGTCCACGACCTACGAAGCTCATATTCTTCGTGACCTGTACGAAGGTCTTGTTGCCTACAGTGCAGCCGGCAAGGTCATTCCCGGCGTTGCTAAGGACTGGAATGTCGCTGAAGACGGCATGGTCTATACTTTCAACCTGCGTGATGACGCCAAGTGGTCCAACGGTGATCCGGTTGTCGCAGGCGACTTCGTCTACTC